CACGATAGGCGATATGGCAGACGCGACGAAAGGAAGGCCGGGCGGCTGGTTGCTGGTTGGGCTGCGGGCTATGGGCGATGGGCGATGGGCGGTGGGCGGCTGGGTGAACAGCAAGTTGTTCGGCAGGCTCCTGCACCAAGCGGCCGGCCTAAATGCACCAGCCGGTAAGGTGGTGCTTTGCCAAGCGGATTGGGAGGTTGGGTGAGGCGTGGCGAGGGGGGGCGGATGTGTTATGCTCGTGCGGAGTTGTGCTAATGGGACGAGGATGCAGGCGCCAACGACGAGCAACGTCTGTAAGCCAACGACCGTCCAACGACCCTGCGACCGACTGACCGACCAAACAACCGTTTAACTAACCGATAGCCGCTTTGTGGCACTTTACAGACTTTTCAGAATTTTCACTTTAAATGCATACGCATGGAGTTCATGGTGGAAAAACGGTTAAAAACGCAAACGTTCAAAGAATTCCGATTTCATAATATGTATGTAAAAATAATTTTTTTCCGTATTTTTGGGTGCAACAGCAGTTATGGGCTGCACGCAGGACACTGTCCACGCGTCACTTCTGAACGCACACACAACACTTTTCACTTCTAAATTTGTTCACGAGCATTCAAAAAAAAAAACCAAAAAAAAACAAAAAATCGGTTAGTATTATCCAACATAAAATTTTTATGAACTATTTTGACTTGATGCTTTCTTGTACCTAGATTATCCATGTACGAGATTTTATAACAAATTTTGGTTGTAGAAAATATTGAAGTTGATTTGTGGAGAATCGGGTAGAGTACATCAAGTGGAATTTGATGATTATTATGATGATGTTGTTGATGTTGTACGCAACGTGAAGCAACGCAACATATCCGCGATACGTTCAATGCGAAGTGTAGCCAAAGACTGCCTCAAAATGTTATCGAGTTCGTTGTATTCCATCATCGTCAACGCTCCACATTGCCGCGCGCGCGGACTTCACAACAACAACAAGAGCAACGAGAAAAAGACCCAACAACAACTCGCCACAACAGCAAGCAAAGCCGGCGACGCTAACGTCAACGGCGTCGCAGTGGCAGTGGCAGCAACTGAGCAGCAGTAAAACATACAAACGCAAAAACTAAAGTACATATGTACTTGTATGTAGAAATGTAAAGCGGCAGCGAAGTCACCGAAAGCACCAGCGCCAACGACGCCAACGACGCCAACTCTAGCAGCAAAATCGCAATGGAAGAAGAGTCGTCGAAGCGACCAAAGTAGCAATAGCAACCGGGAAAAGTTACATACGATAGCTTCGTAATGCTCGGGATAAGTTGGTTGGCAAGCGAGCAAGCAAGCAAGCAAGAAAGCAGAGAAAGCAGGCGGGCGGCCGTTGTGTACAGGCGGTGCGCTAGTCATTATACATACATAGCTGCTGAGCAAACGACAAACGGTACTAAAGCTACCAGCACGGCTGATGGTAGACATTGGGGCGGTGGAGAAGAGCGGGGCAGCAATCGGGAAACGCGCGAGTAGCAACGGGAATACCGGGATAGAGCGACTATACGCCAAGCAATGACGTGGTGGGGAGCACAGCGGCATAAGCAAATTCATACATACATACATACGTGCCGGAATGGGATACATACAAACAAATATCTTGGCATATGCTTGAGTATATACAAATATTTATAAGTATGTCTCTATGTACATATGTATATGTACATGAATACATACATATATGTATATGTAAATATAAAACTCAAGCAGCAGCAGAAGTACGAAGCTATAAGGCAGTGCACACCATTATAAGCGGCACCGGCAGCGGTACAACCAGTGTTGCCAGATTTTTTTCAGAGGAAAGTCTAAATCAGGCGTGCCCAACGCCGGCAGAACTCCATAAGCAAGTGCCCTGCGCTGGCAGAATTCTATAGGCAAGTGCCCTGCGCTTGGCATGCCTGGTCTAAATGGATGAAAAAATAAAGCTAAAAAAGGCTAAATCATAATTTTAGTTATGTTTATAATCTTTTTGTGATAATTATAACTTCATAACAGTGTCAATGTTTAAGGTAAAAATGGCAACCACTTATTTTGTACTTAAGTAATTACTTTTCGTAGCCCCACCAAATCTAGGCTGCTTAAGACAAAGTTTTGATTCCACCTCCCTGTTCTGTAAACATTGACGATTCGGTGTGATGTTTAGCCACATCGCAACTCGAAGGTAGCTTTCCTAGCCAACTTTGCCGCAACGCGATTCCCTCCAATATCAGTATGGCCTGGCCTGGTACCCAAAAGAGTCTAGCCGGGAAAATTCCCTTGCCAAAGTCGAGCAGTTTAACAGACATTACACTGTTTCCTTAATGCTAGCTCTGGTTTATGCTGGCGCCCTGTTGGGAAGAACCATTCACCGACACTTTCGTCATCATTCCTGCAACTACTGCTTCCCGTTCGCTCATTCCTAAAGGTGATGTGAGTGTCGAAAGAGCGCATAAGCCAGTCCATCCACGCAGATATCGGAGAAGGTCGAAGCCTCTCTTTGTGTTTGCTGACAACGGAAAATACAAACATGTGCAATATGGTTGTATTTCATCAAGCAAAGCGTACTTTCTCGCGCCCTGACTGATTTTTGAAGGGGAGCGTTTAATTGCAGATGAATTTGAATATTAGCATACATATTAGGAGGATATATTTCCTAAATGAAAATTCGCTGAAGTAAAATATCTTGACAGCATTTTTCTCTGTTTTTCATTCCATACCTAACACTAAAAATCGCATTAAACATTTTTATACTATTTCAATTTGTAGTTAATATTTTGTGCAAAAGTAAAAAAGCTAAATAATTTTAAGAAAATTATAAGAAAAAAGCTAGAAGCTAAACACAAATTTTCCGGCTAAACCCAAATTAAAAGAGCTGAATCTAGACGGGAAGTTGCTAAAATGGCAACACTGGGTACAACACTATAGATATTTTAGTTTCGTTTATGCTGAGTGGGTATTTGTGTCTCTATGCCGATAAGTTTACTTCTTTCTTTTTGCTGATCATTCGCTCGCTGGCAGTGCCCAAGCTGGTTGTAGTGGTAGTATGATGAAGGTGGTGGTGGTGGAGCAACGCGTCGCGTCAGCAGCGGAGGTGCAGCGCAGCTAGCGTGCTTTGTAAGTGTATTAGTTGGTAAGCGTTTTGCGCTCTCTTTTTCACAGTTGCTTTGAAGCTCTTACGCGTTACATTACACTCTTTGCTTGTAAGCCAAAATGCAGAAAGAGCGCGCAAGCTAGGAAGCACTTTAAAACAGCTGTTTGCAGAGGTGCGCTTTTGCAGCTGCGGATATAAGTGTGCGGAGGCGCGGTGGTGATGAACATTTAAAAGCGCTGCTTTTCGTTCAATGAAGGAGGAAAAAAGATTTCCAGCAGCGAAAATAAAAAGCACGAAATAGAAATAAAAATGTATCTGAATGTAAATATGTATGCGCATTAGGCCATACCTAAATATAATAAATGCGCCGACCATCCCTGAGTCTTAAAGTATTTTTGCAAGGCAATTAAAAAAATTTTTTTTGGTCGAAAGTAGGGGTCACCTTTTTAAAATTTTTGGTCATATCCAAAAAAATTATATATCTATCGATATTTTTTTTTTTCGAGGAGAAAATTTTTGTCATCCAAAGTTCATTACCTCAAGTACCCCATTCTAATAATTGCCACCAATTCTTAATTCTGATCACCCTAACATCCCACCCTAATATCAGTAAATTAAAGCTGGCCAAAAATTATGTTACTTTTGATAAATAAGTACAAATTTTGATTACTTCAGTAAAAAGAAAATGTTATTGCCGAATGTACACACATAGCTGTTACCGAAAAATTTTAAAAAACAACCCTAGGTCAGTGTTGCCAGAAGTTTAAGACGCGTAAGATATGTAAATTATAGCTTTAAAATGTTTTAATACACATATGTACATCAGAGTGGTAAAAAAAAAAAAATTTTACAAGATAGGGTTTGGGGCACCTTCCAAAATTTTTTAAGCAACCTAAGAACATTTCAAATTTAAATTACCTAAAAAAATATCACAAGCGTCAGTTGTCATGGCAACAAAAAATGGACAACTGTAATGTACATATGTTAATTATCATTTTAATAAATATTTTGAAGCTCTATTTCGTTTCCCTTTAGGTGATCTATTGTGAAAATAATACCACCCAAGGTAATGGTTTCTTTCCATATTTCTACCAATTTTTGTTTTATTTAAAATAACCCGAGTGCTGCCAGAAATCTTCCTAATGAAGATTTTTTTTATATGCAATTTTGCTTTCAGTTTAATATCTTCTGTGGTAGATATTAAAAATTTTTTGTAAAAAGTTTTAATTTTGAAGATAAATCCACACTTATGGCAACACTGTCATAGGTTCGGCCAAAAAAAAAAGAAAATTGCCTTGCAAAAATGCTTACGACTCAGAGGTGAACGGAGAACGTTTTTTATTTGCTTGCAAGGTGATACGGTCTAATGTACATATTTAGTATGTATGCATGTCTGTTTGTAGACATGTGTATGCAAATAAATATTTTATAATGCCAGCTGGTAACCGGTAAACGTTATTACTTCTCTTAAAAAAATTATCGTCTAATTGAGGAACACTTTTCAATAAATTTCAAAATATTTTAGGTGCAATTCTGTTAAAAATGTATTTGGATGAAAGTTCTGTACAGATTTATATCAAAAAGTTTTCATTATATTATATGTCAAATATTTGCATATTTTATTAATTGTGAAATTTTATTTAGGTGGCAACTCCATTCAAAAGCAAACATACACATGTATATGTACTTTCAAACAAAAAGCTTTCTCAAACCTCTTTCATTTAAGACTGCTTTGTCATAGCTATTTTCTATAGAATTTTTAGTTTATTGGGGGGGGGGGGGCCTCCTTCCTTGACTACCAGGAGGATCCTCCGGCGAGGCAGAGCACGAGTGTTGCGCTGCCCCTCCTGATCTCTGGAAAATGGTCGACTAACAAGGCGTATAAACTCATTCTAGCCCTTCAAGTGCCCGGACGCGGTCGGCAGCATTCCAGCGCAGATGTAAAGCGTCGTGGAGCTGTCGGGGTATAGGTGACTGATAGAGAGAAAGAGGAAGCCATAAATCATAAAGGCTTTGAAGTGTGGTTCTTCTTCGACATCAGGGGAGCATTTAATAAGTTCCTCCGGAGGCAAAAGCTAAATCACCAGTTAAACTCAGGGTTGAAGACTCACTTGTTTGGGGGGAGCTCGCTCACAACTCTTCGGGATCTTGGACGTACACGATTTGCTAGAAAAGCTAGAGAACTGGGCTGTTGAGTGATTTCCTATGCAGAGATAGATTTCTGGACACCCTATGTGATTTGATCTAAGTTTACATAAACCTGGTGACTAAATGAGTGGCTAAGAGCGGCCTCGCCATCAAGGCAGATATCAGGAAGGCATCAGTTTCTCTTTCAAAGCAATTAGTTGGCGTTATGAAACAATAGTTAAACCAACAATGTTTATGGAGTCTGGTGAAATTCGCTGACCTCATTTGTATTAGTAGTGTTTTTTAAACCTAATCCACTCTGGCGCTTGAGACCATGCGGAACATAGAGCTTGTTGACATTGCAGACAAAACCGTCAAAGCACTGTCTGCAATCAAGCTCTGGGAATCCGGGTGCCTAACGACCTTAGCGTCTGGGCACTCTGAAATTCTTTAAAACATCGATTTCGTCCCTGTTGCCACGGACCACTGCATCTCTTAAATGGCTTCAAGCAGCTCTTAGTCACATTCCTACAAAAGAGAGAGGGAGCAATAAACTTTTTCACTGATGGATGGAAATTTCAACAAAAATATTTTGAAAATTCATATTTCACCAATCTCGCGAAAAGCAGGTCGGAGTTTGATGTAGTTTTGAATATCTGTAAATAGCTTTCAGGAACCACTTCTTTTTTCTGTAAAACTAGTGATGGAGGAAACATCGTAGAATTTTCCCATATAAAATTAAGTTGGATTTTTTTTCGTACTTGGTAATACATAATTGTTTAAGGGAATTAGGTGTAGCTTTATCGAAATGCAGAATTGCTGATTTCTTAATGCTTTTATTAGTAAAAAAACCGAACCTTTTGCTCTACAAATATCACACCGTGACGATGGAATACCCCATATGCATATGTACTATACATGCATATGTATGTACATATTTAAGTGGGTTTACAAAAGGCTTTCCACGTCCTTTAAGAAACTGCAATACCTACACATATATACAATCTATGTACATATAATAACAATATATAAGATTGGCGCTTACGCATATGTTAGTGTTTGGCCGAACTTCTCCTCCTATGTACATACATACTATATGCTGTCCAAAAGTTTTATTTCTTACGGCATACATTCCATATGAAAGTGAATTTATGCAACTTGCACATACTACACATATTGTACTTGTTTTTGCTACTCTGTCGCTGTTCGCTGTGCTTTCAACGCGATTTGAATCAAATTTAATAGATTGCCATCGCAATGGTTTGGCGCCAACGCATCTGCACTGACCCATCCTATTGCCCTACATTTTGCGAGCAACTTGCTGCATGCACATTTATGTATGTATGCACGTACTTATGTTTGTATGTTGGGACAGGCATATGCATACAACTTTATTTTTATACATGCATACAGATGTACATATGTACATATGTATGTACACATGTATATATAAATTGTGTGCAAGGGAATATTTTAATGCATGTTTGCAAATATCTAGGCGCATAAGCTGGCATTTACTTGTTAGCACATTGCATACATTTGCTTTCGTGGAAACATATGTACATATGTACATACGTATATATATGCATATACCATACATACGTATGAACGCTTTAATAGACAATAATAGAAAAATGTTAATTTTTATGATAATTCAATATACATACATATTTATATATGCATATATTTACATATATTCATACTGTTTTATATGTATGTAAAAGCTGTATTTAAGTATACTAGTGTTCGCCCAGCGGTTGAAATTCAACCGCTAAAATTAAGGATAGTTTATGTGAGTTGAGTTGAGCTGAAGTAAAATTTGTTGGAATGGGTTAAGTGGAGGGGAGTTTAGCTTAGTACTTAGCTTAACATAACATAGAATAGCATTACGTTCAATAACATAACATATGTAGCATAACACATCACAATATAACATCGCACATTCTTCAGTTGTATTTCCTTTTTATCCCTATCACTTTCTTCCTCTCTATCTTTGTCTCTATCGCTTTTAATGTTTATGTTTATGTTTATGTTTATCTACACCTTCATGTTCATGTTCATGTTCAAGTTCATGTTCATGTTCATGTTCATTTTCATGTTCATGTTCATGTTCATGTTCATGTCCATTTTCATGTTCATGTTCATGTTCATGTTCATGTTCATGTTCATATTCATCTTCATCTTCATCTTCATCTTCATCTTCATCTTCATCTTCATCTTCATCTTCATCTTCATCTTCATCTTCATCTTCATCTTCATCTTCATCTTCATCTTCATCTTCATCTTCATCTTCTTCTTCATCTTCATCTTCATCTTCATCTTCATCTTCATCTTCATCTTCATCTTCAT